GTGCGGCCAATCTTTAGAAGAAATACGGCTTGCGAAGACTGTTCTTTCTGTCAGTCCTGAGCTATAATCTAGCTGCTTTTCAGAAGCAGAAGGATCAGGTGACCACAAAGAGCCGACCACGAGAGCAAGGGAAGGACCCCCAGACTTCCTGACGCCACGGCTGGGGGTGGACAAGCGTGTCGTAATGCTCCCCTTACCTACCTCTTTGTACTATGTCCCTCGATTCTGCTACAGATTAACCCTGATCGAATCACACCAGCCCTTTTCCAGCCCTTAAGAACTCCGAGGCCCTCTAACTGGGGAAGTCGATATGGTTTGACTCCCCTCTCCTCCCTGAGTCTCCCGGGGTTAAAGCCTTTTCCTCCCTTGCAAACGCGTTCCCATCAGTGGCGACAAGCAATGGCAGACAGATGTGGGGCCAGTCATGCCGCCAGCTGAAGCACTCTCTGCTAATTCTGTCACCTCGGATCGGGCATGGCTGGGGTTCTAACGGGCAAGGTCTGTCTAGCAGGAACTTTCTCCAGCCCCAGGAAGTAAAGCTACAGCGCCCAGGACACCTCACGAGCCCCGCCATGGCTGGAGCCACCCATCAACCCAGGCAGAGCATCCCGACCTGTGCCACGGTACCACCATGCGGGGGCGTGTATCCAGTTACCTCTTAGGAGCCAGCGCACGCCCCCCCCTCCCACCAGCACACACAATGCGCTTTTGCAGAAGCTGTTCAGATTCTTAGGCCCAAACACGAGCTGCTACCACAAACCAGGAATAAACTAACCCTCTTCTCTCCTGAACTGCCGAGCATGTGGTTAAGGGTGGAGGATGGAGGAACAGAGACACTGTTCTCCATCTAATAATAATAAAAAGCCTCAAAAGCATCCACTTGCACTTGACAAGATGAGGAGAACCAGGGAGAAAAACTTCATTCCAGGAAGAGGTTTAAACCTTGGCAAGGGCTGGCAGGTGGCATGGTGGTTAAGGTGCTGGACTCCCACATGGCCAACTGCAGTTTGAATCCCGGACCTGACAGCTTGCTTTCTCACTCTCTTTCTCTGGGGAGTGCACATGCCCTATAACAAATTTAAGAAAAACTAACTAACTAAATAAATATAATAATTTAAAAAAATTAAAAAACATCTTGGCAAATTGACAGAAGCCAAGCCAGTGCTCCAGGCACAGGGAAACGGGCCATGCGCCGTTTTCGAGAAATGGAGCACTCACGTCCTCTCCCTTCCCTGTCCTCAGGAACCCTCCAGGCCACGCCCCCGTAGGGCCGAGCTCTGCAGGTGCTGACCTGGAGGAGTCCAACCTGGTGAAGCCCCAGGATCTGTCTGAGCCCCCTGACCTTTGAGCTCCGCTTCCAGTCGGATCAACACTTTGGCAAAGCTACTGTTGTGCACCCCCCCC